TACATCGGAAGCTTTTATTTTTCTCCAAATGTCTCATCAGTGGTATGACGTGAAGGAAGGACAGTGCGATACATAAGCACACAATATAAGATTTACTACGCCGAACGGCAAAGATGCAACAAGCTGCGCCGATGCAAAAATGGCTCCAAGAGACGTTTTGGACTCTCCTCTTGGGCCCGGCGCGCGGGCGGGCGGAGCGCCGCCCGCCCGCCCGCAAGGCCCAAGAGCCCACCAAACCGTTCGAAGATACCTCCAAGACGCCACCAGGGAGGAGGAAGAGGCGGAGGAAGAGGAGGAGGAGGAGGAGGAGGAGGAAGAGGATGAGGAGAGGGAGGAGGAGAGGAGGAGGAGGAAGAAGGCGGAGGAGAAGGAGGAAGAGGGGGAGAAGAACAGCTGCCGATCATCGGCGCTCTTCGTTCGAGTGCCTGGTGTAGGATGGGCTGGTGGGGATATTTTTTTTACAGCCGCAGGCGGAAGCGCCGGCGGCGGCGGGTCACGGTCGGGCTGCGGCCGTGGCGAATTCGCCGAGCGCGCGCGGGGGCCGCGGATCAGGCGGCGGTGCAAGCTGCAGCCCAGGGAGTCTGAAGGGAAACAGCCACCCAGGAAGCAGGGAGGACGCTGCCAAAATGGCGCGACGCACACCCCCAGTCAAGGATCGTGTCGGTCCGACGATCACAGGGTAGTGGGGTTCTGACTCCGTGCAAGAAGTGCGTTAGTAGCCCAGGGTGTCTGTCGGGTATGAGCGAGACCGTAGGCAAGAGAGCTGACGTCGTCCAGCAGGGAGAAGGGACTCTGACAGCGCCAGCGAACCGTCGCAGCTTCAGAGTACGCATCCACGCGGCTGAAAAGGCACGCCTGAAGTCAATGACAACCGGAGCCAACCCTCAAACCAACTGCGGAAGAATGCGTTCGCACGCGAAAGATCAACGACATGATGTGACGCAGTGCAAAGGTACACCTGCTCCCGACCTTGGCGAGAGACCCGACGGCATCCGAGGTGGCAGGGCGTGTACCAGGAAGCAACTAAGTGACATAACAAAGAGCGGCTCTCCAGGAGACTCTGAAAGACCAGAAAGGAAATAGCGCTCAGAGAAAGCTGTGCTGCCGCATACCCACTGCAGCACAAGCAATCGAGTCACGAGGACGCCCAGGAAGTCTCCGTGCAAGGAGTGCGTCGGTAGCCCAGGGTGTCTGTCGGGTATGAGCGAGACCGTAGGCAAGAGAGCTGACGTCGTCCAGCACCGTGCAAGAAGAGTGTCAGAGAGCCCAGGGTGTCTGCCGGGTATGAGCGAGACCGTAGTGGGGATCTGTCTCCGTGCACGAGGGGTGTCAGGGGCCCAGGGTGTCTGCCGGGTATGAGCGAGACCGTAGGCATGCGTTCGCACGCGAAAGATCAACGACATGATGTGACGCAGTGCGGAAGGTACACCAGTTCCCGACCTCGGCGCGAGACACGAGGGCCAACCGAAGATGACAGGGCGTGTACCAAGAAGCAACTAAGTGACATACCAAAGAGCAGCTCTCCAGGATACCCTGGCGGACCAGAGAGCGTGGAAATAGCGCTCTGAGAAAGCTGCGCTGACGCATACCCGCTGCAGCACAAGCAACCGTCCGTAGTCACGAAGAAGCCCAGGAAGTGACCGCTCAACAAGGTTGAGCGTGGGAGCGACGATGGGGTGACGTCAGTGTGCACGGATCCTTGCGGCGAGCGGTGCACCACTAGCCACAGGTGTGGGCACGGCCTGGGCCAGCCGCTGCCAAACTGTGGCAAGTCATGCACGGGAGCACACCTGCGACCCAGAGTCCGAGTACGGCCGCAGCGCTGGTGGGGATACGCGAAGCGTCAAGAATTGAAGATGTTAGCCAGCCTGGACCCCAAACAATGAGTTACTGCACTGCGGAGGTGAAAACTACGCGGTGCAAGCAATGTCGTGTGAGCTATGTCGTGTAAGCTTTGGTGTGAGCTATGGAGGTGAAAACTATGCGGTATCAGATCTGCGATGTAAGATATGCCGTGCAATGCATCTGGTGTGAACTGGAGGTGGTAGCTATGCGGTGTAAGCTAATGCCGTGTGCCATATGTAGTGCCAGCTGTGCGGCGCAAGCTGTGCGGGGCAAGCTGTGCGGTGTAAGCTGGGTCGTGCCAGCTATGTGTGGTATGCTCAGCGCACGGGCCACACGCAAGCGCAACGAGGCGGCACAGGCGGAACGCAGCGCAGCCCTGGTTGACCCACCCCAGCGCGCGGGACGCCCACGAGCGCCCGCGGGGCGGCGCGGGGCGGCAGTGCGGGAAACTCCTCGGCGGACCCACCGAGCGCACGGGGCGCCCACGAGCGCCCCCGAGGCGCCCACGAGGCGGCAGGGCGGAATTCTCCTCGGCGGGCCCGCCCGGCGCACGAGGCGCCCACGGGCAGCTGCGAGGCGCCCACGAGGCGGCGGCGGCGCGGCGGAAGCTCGGCGGACCCCACGGGCGCGGTGGGCGGCGGCGGCGCGGCGGAACCGCGGCGGGCCACCCCGAGCGCGGTGGGCGGCAGCGAGGCGCCCACGGGCGGCAGCGTGGCGAGATCTTGGCGGAACCATCTCCTCCTCCTCCTCCTCCTCCTCCTCCTCCTCCTCATCCTCCTCCTCCTCCTCCTCCTCCTCCTCCTCCTCCTCCTCCTCCTCCTCCTCCTCCTCCTCCTCCTCCTCCTCCTCCTCCTCCTCCTCCTCCTCCTCCCCCTCCCCCTCCCCCTCCCCCTCCCCCAAATCACCAGGGGCACCAGAGAGAGCTCACAAGCCTCAGTGCCGGCAGCGCTTGGGGAATTCATGAAATCTCGAGCGAGCATTCAAGTTGAAAAGGACCTGCCCTCCATCCTTATTACTGGTGCAAAGTTGAAAGAGAGCGCGTGCGCGGCGCCGAGGCGCCAGCCGTATTGTGAACACGACCCCCCTCCACCTGTGTAAGTGGTGGGAGCTACTCACAATAGGATGCGCGACGCTAACGCCAAAGCCACATGCTGGCAAGGAGCCGCCTTCCATCCATGTAACTGCAATGATGATTCAACTATCCTGGCGAAAAGGGCCCAACCATGTGCAGTTGTGAATATCGCAGTTGTGGCCACGAAGCGTGTAAAGGGTCTGCCGAAATGGGACGGGGACGCATGCGGGCGCAGCCACCGCCTCTGGGGCATTCGGTGGAGCTCCCTATGGGGCCAAGCCACCGCCTCTGAAGCGTTGTACTGAGCGGGGAGAAGCGCATGCGAACACCGTCACCGGGGCCTTCGGTGGAACCCCCTTATGGAGCCACCAAGCGCTGCGCTGGGTGGGAAGCACGCATGCGAACACCGCCACTGAGGCTTTCGGTGGAGCTCCCTGTGGCGCCACGAAACGCTGTACTGAGCCGGGGGAACGCATGCGAACACCGCCAATTGGGCCTGCGGTGGAGCTACCCGTGGGGCCACGAAGCACTGAAGTGGGCGGGGGAAACGCACGCGAACACCGCCACTGGGGCTTCTGGTGGAGCTCACTAGGAGGCCGTGAAACGTTGTACTGAGCGGGGGGGAACGGATGCGCACACCGCCACTGGGGCCTTCGATGGAGCTCCCTATGGGTCCACGAAGCGCTGTACTGGGTGAAAGAAACGCATGCGACCACCACCACGAGGACCTTCGGTGGAGTCCCCCACGGGGCCACGAAACGCTCCACTGGGTGGGGGAAGCGCATGCGAGCACCGCCACTGTGCCTTCGGCGGAGCTCCCTCCCTATGGGGCCAGGAAGTGTTGAACTGGGTCGGGAGAACGTTTGCGAACACCCGCATTGGTGCCTTCGTAGGGGCACCCTAAGGGGCCACGACACGCTGTGGTGGGCGGGGGAAACGCATGCGAGCCGTGCCTCTGGAGCCTTCGGAGGAGCTCTGGATGGGGCCAAGAAGCGTGTGAGGGGTGTGCCAAAATGGAAGGGGGGCGGCATGCGAATCATGCCACTGGGGCCTTCAATGTACCTCACTATGGGGCCGCGAAACGTGTGAGGGGTGTGCCGAATTGCACGGGGGCGTTTTGCGAACCATGCCAACTGGGCCCTTCGGTGGAGCTCCTGATGGGGCCACGAAGCGTGTGAGAGGTGTGCCAAAGTGGAGGGGGGGCGGCATGTGAACCATGCCAACTGGGCCCTTCGGTGGAGCTCCCTATGGGGCCACGAAACGTGTGAGATGTGTGCCAACATTGCACGGGGGCGGCATGCGAACCATGCCACTGGGGCCTTCGGTGGAGCTCCCTTTGGGGCCGCGACACGTGTGAGGGCGTGCAAAAGTGGAGGGGGGCGGCATGCGAACCATGCCACTGGAGCCTTTCGTGGAGGTCCCTGTGGGGCCACAAAGGATGTGAGAGGTGTGCCAAAATTGCACGGGGGGCGGCACTGAAGCCTCGGAGCTCCCTACGGGGCCAGGAAGCGTGTGACGGGTGTGCCAAAGTGGAGGGGGGGCTGCACGCGAAAAATGTCCCTGGGGCCTTCGGTGGAGCTCCCGAATTATGGAACCACGAAGCGTGTGAGGGGTGTGCCGAAGTGGGGGGGGGACGGGAGGAGGGAAGAGGGGTAGTAGGAGTAGGAGGACGAAGAGGAGACGCGGGGACTGTCTCTTCAAAACGAAGACCCAACACCACAGGATGATTGTGAAAAACGAATGTGAGCGACGCTGAGGCGAAAGCCATAGTTTGACCCCCCAGACAATGAGGAGTTACCTGCGACGAGCTGGAATTGAGGAGGAGGAGTAGGAAGAGGAGGAGGGAAGAGGAAGAGGAGGGAGGGGAGAGGAGATTGAGGGAGGAGGGGGAGGAGAAGGAGGAGTGGAAAGTGGGAGGATGAGGAGGATGAGGAAGAGGCGGAGGAGGAGGAGGAGGAGGAGGTTGAGGAGGAGGAGGAGAAGGAGGAGGGAGAGAGGGAGGAGGAGAGAGGAGAGAGGAGGAGGAGGGGTCACGAAGCGGATGGGGAGGCCGAGCGAGAGAAGAAGGGTGAGCGAGACAAACCTTGATGGCGGCGAACTTCGTGTCCGTGTCCTGCTCCAGGTCGACCGCGTCCGCCAGGGCCTTGCAGGCGACCAGCGGTGCGTCCCGGCCCATGGATTGGAGGCTTGGAAATGGGCACCGACACCAAAACAGGGATCGAGTCCACCGGGGAAGGACGGTGTTGGTGGTGATCTGTCGGCCACCCAGGGAGCCCAAATATTGCCACCCCAATCGAGATCGGGATCATCTTCCCCCGGTGGGGGCACACCGCCGATATTTTTCGGTGGCAACTCATGGGAGCTTCCCGTACCATCTTGTCGGCTCTTGCGAATCGATGCTAGTCGACGCTAAATCGACGCCAATCAACGCTATCTCATTGACACCTCGACGCGAATCGACGCTAAAGACGGAATTAAGACGGTACACCAGGCTCCCATGATTTGAGAGAGCGTGATCCACCGCCGCTTCACTGTGGAAATGTCCCACCCTCTTCCTCAGGAACCCGGGGGTCCCTCCCCTTCCCCCCCGCAAAACCCTCCCTCCCTCCGGAAAACTGGGGGGGGGGTCACTACCGGTTCGAACCCCCCCCCCTCTAGAAAACCACGGGGGGTCACTACCGATTCGACCCCCCCCCCCTCCAGAAAACCGGGGGGGGTCACTACCGATCGAACCCTCTCTCCCCCCCCCTCCAGAAAACCGGGGGGGGTCACTACCGGTTCGAACCCCCCCACCGCTCCAAAAAACCGGGGGGGTCATTACTGGTTCGAACCCCCTCCCACTCACCGCTGGAAAACGACTCCCGGGTCCCCACTGCCGTCCGCACCACATCCCCCACTGCTGTCCCCAGCACCACTGTCCCCACCACCAGTCCCCACTGTTCACACCACTGTCCCCACTGTCCCCACCAGTGCCCCCACCACTGTCACACTGTCCCACTTTCCCCACGGTCCCCACCACTGTCCCACTGTCCCCACTGTCCCACTGTCCCCGCCGCTGTCCCACTGAGCTGCCCCACTGTCCCCACCACTGTCCCCACTATCCCCACCACTGTCCCCACCACTGCCCCCACCACTGTCCCCACCACTGTCCCCACCACTGTCCCCACTGTATCTCTGTCCCATTGTCCCACCACCGTCCTCGCCGCCGCCCTCACCAGTCCCCACCGCCACTGTTCCCACCACTGTCCCACTGTCCCCACACTCCACAGCACTGTCCCACTGTCCCCACGCCAGTGTCCCCACCACCACCGCCCCCACCACTGTCCCACAGTCCCCACCACTGCCCCACTGTCCCCACTGTCCCCACCATCGTCCCCGCTGTCACCACCAGTGCCGCCACCAGTGTCTCCCTGTCTTCACTCTCCCCACCATTGTCCCACTACGGTCCCACTCTCCCAGTGTCCCTACTGCCCCCACGACTGTCCCACTGTCCCCACTGTTCCCACCACTGTTCCTACCACTGTCCCCACTGTCCCCACTGTCCCCGCCGCTGCTCCACCGTGCTGTCCCGCTGTCTCCACTGTCTCCACCACTGTCCCACTGTCCACACTGTCCCCACCACTCTCCCCATTGTCTCCACTGTCCCACCACCGTCCTCACCAGCGCTTTCACCACTGTCCCCACCACTACCGTCACCACCACTGTCCCACTGTCCCCACTGTCCCCGCAACTGTCCCGCTGTCCCCTCACCACTGTCCCCACCACCACCGTCCCCACCAGTGTCTCACTGTCCGCACGACTGCCCCACTGTCCACACACCACTGTCCCCACAACCACCGTCCCCACCATTGTCCCAGTATCCCCACCACTGTCCAACTGTCCCGAGGAGCGGGAATCGTTTGCCGGTGGTTAAGGGGGGGGGGGTTCGACCCGGTAGTGACCCCCCCCTTTTCATGATGGACTGGAGGGGGGGGGGTCGAACCGGTAGTGACCCCCCCCCGTTTTCGACGGGGGGGGGGGACGGGTTGGGAACCCCGAGTGACCCCCTCAGGTTTTCCGCCAGCAGCGGTAGAACACGCTCTCTGCATGATTCGCTACCGAAACATTTCGTGTTCGCGCCACCCTCCAGGCCTCCGAATGGAGATCAGAGTTTTGGCAGCCTCGAACCGCAGCAGCGGCTCTTCGCACTCCGTGAGCGTCTCGGCGACCGCGCCGCCGGCGGCCTCCGCGGACCCGGGCCCCATGTAGCTCAGGGTCCGCAGTGCGCCGAACTTGATGTCGAAGTCGCCCGTTCTAACGTGCCTGGCCACCGCCGCCGAGGCTAGAAGAGGAAAAACAGCGTAAACATAAACTGTTGGCGCTCAGCGCAAATCTTTTGGATCTGCACTGGGCCCCCCTCCCTGGCGCGCTCCGCGCGCCAGGGGCGGCGCCGGAGGCGTCGCCGGGGAGGGGCCCAGGGCGGATCCAAGAAATCCGCGCGGAGCGCCAAAAGTTTATGTTTATAGCGGGTTTTCTTTTTCGAGAGGCGTAGGGCGCCGCGCAGCTGCCCATGACTCCGAGCGCCCTGATCCCGTCCAACACCTTGCCCTTCTGCGCCTTGGAGCAAGCCGCGATCGAGGCTCCTTCGCGGCCTCAACCGCATGCCGATCTGACCACGCCGATCCACCCCGAAGCGCGAAGAGAACGCCACCAAGTCAACGCCCGAGTGGCTGCCCTGATCCCGACCGGTTGATAGATCCACAGCCTTGCCAAGCCTCGATAACGGCCTCGACCCCACGGAAAGACCATCTCGATAAGGGAAAAACGGCATAAACAGAAGCTGTCGGAGGTCCGCGCGGATTTCTTGGATCGGCAGAGGACCCCTCATCCTCTGCCCATCTTTGACCGTTTACATGAGCACCCTCCCTTTCCTGGGCGTCGGAGCCAGCAAGTTGAGCAGCAACTTACCAGCCTGGAACATATCCTTATCCCTATGCTGGGCATCTCCTCATCACGATGCCAATCTTAGGGATTCCCTTAGTTTTCTCAGGGCGAATCCCTAAGATTGTCATCGCCTTTTGGCGTGTCAATCTTAAGGTTCGGGATAAGTTCGAGGCTGGTGAACAACGCTCTAGGCTGGGCGCCCGGGGCGCCGATATGGATTCTGTCAGCACCGCGGCAGGGTGCGGATCAATCTCCTTGGGCAGGAGATCCAGGGAGTCGCCGACGTACGCTGCAATGGCCTCCGCCGCCTTGCGCCGCCTGTCAAAGTCCTCGTCTTTAAGTTTCCCCAGGAGGTAGTCGAGGTGGTAGACGGTGTCCTCCTCGCTGAAGGCATCCACCGAGCCGCCCTCCGGTCCGTAAGTGCCGCGCTCGTACCTGCGGTTGCTAGAGACCACGGTGCGCTGTTTGCCGCGTTCCTTGGACATCGCAGGCTGCGCGTAACCCTGGGCGTGGACGCCAGGATGCCGTGAGCGAGGACTGCCCCTGGCCTTGAGGCTTGAGCCAAAGAACGAGTGTTGACGACAACGACGATGTGCGACAAACGCCTGTTTTGGAGGACATCGCGCGATCGCTGATGAGGTCCGGGGGTTTGGGGTGGTGGAAGCTGGATGATGGTTGCAAGCGCCTCGAGATGGTCGCGGCTCCGTGACACACACCACACACACACACACACCTGCGGAAAGGGTTCCTAGGCGAAATGCGGATCCAGATCATGAGCTGCGCAAGCAGGACGACGAGCCTGCAAAATTGCATGGGGAGCGGCTGTAGATACATGCAGAACTTCAGCCACTAGCCAAAGGAGCACACCAGGAATACGACAAAGAGAAAAAGGGAGGGCGCACGAATACTAACAGAGCCACATGACATCTTCAAAGGCCTGCAACGAACCCAGCAACTACGTTCGAGAGGACTGCCGTTAGAGTCTGCACGGAAACATCATGCGCACGATGCCGATCAAGGCCGGGTCCGCATTATACGCCGTGTGGGGACAGCATATGAAAAGCGACGGGTGCGTAGGACTCACTGAACATTACAAGGGGTGGTCGCGAGGGGGGGGGGGGGCTACGGGGTGCCCCTCACGGGCGCATGAATCGGGAAAGAGCAGAACAAATACCACGTTGCACATGCACCGACCTCGGACAAGCCCATCATGGGCCCAGGACCGATGCGCTCGCCCTCCTGGCTTGGCCAGGGAGGCATAGAGTCCTCCCAGAAGGGGTCCGAGTAGATGGGGTCCGAGGATCGCGCCACATTGCCGATGCAGCGACGATGCATCGGCGACGTCGGCGGTACATCGGCGACGCCGGCGTGGAGAAAGTCCGGCTCCACATCGAGCCGCATCGGCGATGCATCGGCGATGCGGAGCGATCCTCCGGCCCAGTCTACCCCGACCCATCTTTTGGCGGTGCGCACAGGGGGGTAGGGGAGAGGGGGGAGGCTTCGCAGAAGGAGGCTGCTTCTTAGAAGGCGCCGGCTCTACATCTACAGAAGAAGGCCCGCACCTGCTGAGAAGCAGGGGTCCTTCTAAAAGGTTTCCCTCCTCCTCCTCCTCCTCCTCCTCCTCCACGTCCTCCTCCTCCTCCTCCTCCTCCTCCTCCTCCTCCTCCCTCCTCCTCCTCCTCCTCTCCTCCTCCTCCTCGTCCTTCTCCTCCTGCTCCTCCTCCTCCTCCTCCTCCTCCTCCCTCCTCCTCCTCCTCCTCCTCCTCCTCCTCCTCCTCCTCCTCCTCCTCCTCCTCCTCCTCCTCCTCCTCCTCCTCCTCCTCCTCCCCCCCCCCTCCCTCATACCCCGAGGCCCAGACATGCTCCGCCCTCGGGCCCATGATGGGCACGGCCAGGATCGGAGCACGTGCGCAGCCCTTCTCGCCCGAGCGGGGGCGGGCACTGACGGGCACCCCCACCAAGTGGAGGGCGGCGCCCTGTGAGCCCGCGCTCCTGGCTGACACGTACCAGACCACCCCAACCCAACCGGAAGACCTTAATTTCGCCTTGGGGGGGGTACGGGTTCCATATGTGTTTTTCAAAATGTTCCCCGACCCCCCCACCCAAACCGGAAATGGAGGGTAAATTGAGGCCTTCGGGTTGGGTTGGGGTGGTTTGGTGGGTGGTGACTGGCTCCCCCCTGCCGAGACCCCAGCTCTGGGTGTGAAGTACTGGGGGGGGGCAGGGGGGGGGGAGAAAGGTGCCCTTTCCGGGCCCAAGCGGCCCACCTTGGGGCCCCGAGGGGCCCCTTTCGGGGCCCTGAGGGGCTCCTCTTTGCAGCCCTCGCTGCCGCCCCGTTCATCGCCCCCCCCCATCTCGCGCGACGCCCAACAGCTTGCGAAACGGCTCCCTCCGGGCTATCCTGCAGCCATCGTGCAACCGCATACGATGCTGAGCAAGGAACGAAAAGGCCGTTCTGGCCGAGGTGACGTACTGAGCCTCGGTCCTTCGCAGGCCCTCCGGCACACATCGAATAGCGGCCCGACAACCGGAGCCCCTCCGGAGCCCGAGCTGGTCCTCACTTCCGCGTCTGGAGGAGGAGGAGGAGGAGGAGGAGGAGGAGGGGGAGGAGGAGGAGGACACCTCCTCGCCGCTCTGGCGATGCCGCAGCTTCTACACGCAGCCGACGGGGCCACTGTGGCGCCCACTTATCGTGCCTCGCGCTCGAGCACAAAGCCCGCTGGGGGCACTCACTTCTAGAGAGACGGCGCGCGCACGGACACGCTCCAAGCGTTTGGGGTGGACGCGGGTCGCGTGCACTCCTCCCCCTCCTCCTCCTGCTTCTCCTCCTCCTCCTCCTCCTCCTGTCCTTCCTCCTCCTCCTCCTCCCCCTCCTCCTCCTCCTCCTCCTCCTCCTCCTCCTCCTCCTCCTCCTCCTCCTCCTCCTCCTCCTCCTCTTCCTCCTCCTCTTCCTCCTCCTCCTCGTCCCCCTCCGCCTCCTCCGCTTCCTCCTCATCCTGACGTGAATCGAGGCCCACGGGAGCGAGGCGAATGGGCACGAGGAGGCAGACGCAGAGGCAAGGAGACGAACGCCCACGCGCGCGGCTGGCGAGCTTCTCTCGGTCAAGGGCGCGCTCGCCTGTCGGCTTCGGCCCCCAGCACACCCAGGCCTTCCCCAAGCAGTCGGAAGCCACTGTCAGTACGAACACCTTCGGGTAATACTGGTCTGCACAAGTTCGGCATCGCCTCTGGATTTCGCGTGGGGCGCGCCAGCAAGCCGATGCCGCACATGTTGTGCCACCCGTGCCATCCCGTGAGCAGCGGTGCTTCAGGATTCGAATCAAGCGCAGCCACCTCCTCTTCCTCCTTCTCCTCCTCCTCTTCCTCCTCCTCCTCCTCCCCCTCCTCCTCCTATTCGCCTTCGCCATTGTTATCGCCATCTCCCTCCTGCCTTCCTTCTCGTCTTCCTCCTCGGTCCGCATCCCCGATGGGCAAGCACACATGGCGGGCTCTGGACACCCTAAACCTCCCAAGCGTGTCATGGATTGGAGTGGCGATGTTTGCTTCCGCCAGATTCCGCAGGCCTGTGCTGGTTTCTGGCTGCCTTCCGCTGGCTTCCGACGGCGGAGACGGCCTCGTTTTACTTCCGCAGTGTTCCAGTGGTTTTCTGCTGCCTTCTGCCGAGGATAGAGGCCACCCCTGAATGGGATCGAAGTAGATGGGGCCAGAGGACCGCGCCGCATCGCCAATGCATCGGCAATGCATCGGCGATGCATCGGCGACGTAGGCGCCGCATCGACTGCAACGGCGTAGTGAAATTCGGGCTCCGCATCGAGCCGCATCGGCGATGCATCGGCGATGCGGCGCGATCCTTCGACCCCATCTGCTCGGACCCCATATGGGAGGCCTGGAGGGGAGGAAAATGAGGAGGAGGAGGAGGAGCAGGAGGAGGAGGAGGAAGTGGGGGAGGAGGAGCAGGAGGAGGAGGAGGAGGAGGAGGAGGAGCAGGAGGAGGAGGAGGAGGAGGAGGAGGAGGAGGAGGAGGAGGAGGTGGAGTAGGAGTAGGAGTAGGAATATGAGGAGGAGTCAAGCTAGCCAGCTCGAGCGAGTCAAGCATGGCATGCCCAGTCCCACCCGCCCTCCCACAACATAAGAAGCAAAGCTGGCACAACTGGGGGCCGAAGTCACACCGGCCAGCCGGTTTGGTACAGCTGATGCGGCCGCGATGGCGGTTGCCGACGGGAACTGGCGAGCGCGTGTTGAATGCCGCGCACGCATTGCCAGACGAGTCGAGAATGGCCCGGTACACCGCAGGAAGCCAGAGGTGGCCGGAGGAAGCCCGACGGTCTGACAGGACACCCCAAAACATTTTTGTGAAAAAGCATTGGGTTTTTGATGTTTTTATGTTGAAATGCTTGCAAAAACACGGTATTCGGTAGGATTCTGACATGAACGCGCGAGTGTGCTCTTTGTAATATTTTTTGCACAGGATTCGCGGCCTGGGTGCATGACAGAGCATCGCGAGTGCACCGCGCGATGACGTGAAATCGCTGGATTTGACCGAATTCTTAAGATTCCTATGGTTTTCCTATGATTTCAGCAAGAGAGCCCGGGCGGGAAATTTGTACATTTTTTTTGTGAAAAAAAAAACATTGGGTTTTTGATGTTTTTATGTTGAAATGCTTGCAAACACACGGTGTTCGGTAGGATTCTGACATGAACGCGCGCGTGTGCTCTTTGTGGTATTTTTTGCAATGGATTATCGCCGTGGACGACAGGACGTCCATGTCGAGAGGAAAAAATAAGAAAAATGTTGATTTTGTATTGTTTTTTTACAGGTTAGGATGGGACCACCCGGATGCGCCCGCTATCTGCCGGCCTGAGGGGGGAGTAGGAGTATATTCTAATAAGGAATAAGGATAGGAGTAAAGGTAGGACTGGGAGTAGGAGTAGGAGTCGGAATGGGAGTGGGAGCAGGAGTGGGAATAGGAGTAGGAGCAGGAGTAGGACTAGGAGTAGGAGTAGGAGTAGGAGGAGGAGAGGAGGAGGAGGAGGAGGAGGAGGAGGAGGAGGAGGAGGAGGAGGAGGAGGAGGAGGAGGAGGAGGAGGAGGAAGGGGGAGGAGGGGCAGGAGGAGGAGGAGGAGCAGCAGGAGGAGGAGGAGGAGGAGGAGGAGCGATCGTACCTTCCCTCAGTCCCTCAGGCGTCTGTGGCCTCAAGGCATGCAGCAGGCATTATGTGCCTGCTTTGTACTTAAGCGCGGCGCCAGGCGCTGCGCGATTGCAAGCACGTAGCTTGTTGTAGAAATAATATGAAAGAGCGGTCCGCCGTATGGACTCGGCAAGTGAGTGCTCAGGGATGTCGTGCTGCCCAGTCGCCCCTAAACCGATGCGGGCGATGGGGGTCGGGCGAGAGGAAGGCATGGGGCAGGGCACTGGAAGTGCAAGAAGCGGGGGCAGAAGAAGCAATGGCCGAGACGGTCTGGGCAGCCGCTGCATCCTAGCAAACAAATCATGCGCGGGCCGAATGGGAAGCGGTGGCTGGTCCACCATGCTCCTGCCAGCGTTTTGTAAACTCCCCGGCGGATCGCGGGGGTGTTCTTGGATTGCACTGTTGCGAGCGTCTGCCAGCGCTCGTCGAGATTCGCTGGAATCTGTGCTGTGGGCATCGCTGCGTGCAAGCGGCGGGCCAAGGTTTCGGCGAACTTGTCGGGGAAGAGGGAGGCGCGGAGGACCGAGGTGAGAGTCCGCTGAACTCTGGCTCTCCGTTGCTCCTGAGCGGTAGACATCAGCTCGGCTTCTGCTGCTCGTTTGGCTCGCTGCCAAATGGGCAGCGGGACTTTATATGGTGGCGTCGCTCCGCCAAGTGCGTGCCAGTGCTCTACTATTCCGTAGCTCTTCCAAAAGACAGGAGAGACAGCGGCCCGAATTTGGGCCTGGGCCAGGTCCGCGAGGAAAAGTTCTGGATTCAGCTGGTCGTGTGCACGCTGAAGGGCACGAAGGAGAGGCGTCCATCGCAGGAGCGCAACTGTTGCCGCCCGCCAAGCTGAGGCTAGCGACAGTGTCATTGGAGCTGAGGGGGGGGGGCGAGTGCGACCACGAGCGAGCGCCGAGGAGGTCGACGAGGCGCCAGGAGTTGGGGGGGCGCTCTCAGGATCTTGTGCAACGTGCCGCGTTCGTGGCGGAGGAACGTGGCTGGGAGCGGAAATTTTTGTGTGAGATAAGATAGAACGGTTATAACACATGTGACATAAAGCTTGATTGCGACTGCTGGGCCTGGGGCGCTGGCGGCCAGCTGCGCAGCGCGCAGCCAATATTTGTCGAATGCTGCTTTCCATTGGAGATCTAGTGTGACGCCGGGGCCTATGAGGACCCCTACGTAGCGCGCGTATCCTGCTATCTGTGCACTCTGCCATTCGGGTGAGAAACTGGAGAAGCCTCTGTGTGAGCTTCTGAACATCGGGCGTCAGAGGTGCCCATAAGGGGCACAATCGCTGTCTTCTGGATCTGAAGCTCGAGTCCCGCGAGGTCACCGATGGCCCGAAAGGGGGGGGGGGGGGAAAGAGGGGGGGGGGGTCCCGAGGCGAGCGAGGACAAGCCCCAGATCGTCTGCGCAGGCTCCGAGCTTGTCGGGTCCAGGGAGGGTTCTTAAAATGTTGAGTAAATGACGGATAGGGGCGTCAAATGCGAGTGCCCATATTGAACCTGACAGGGGGCATCCCTGGAGAACGCCAGAACCGATTTCAAACACGCACTGTGGCTGGCCACCAATTCGGGTCCATGCGCCAGGAGCGCCGTAGAGGGCCAGAGTTACATTGAGGTAGCCTGGGGGGAACTCCATGAGCCACGGGGGCTGTAAATAGAATTTCCCATCCTAAGGACGGGAACGCAGCTTTGATGTCAAAGCTGATTAAGATCGGGAAGTCATCAGAGGCCTCTGAAGAGTGACCCACACTGCGTGCTTCAGAGTCTAGCGTCAATATGTGCTGTCCGAAATTTCTGCCTTTCACGAAGCCTTGCTGCGTGTCCTCTGCGCGCTCGCGAACCATATCAGCCAGACCCATGTTGACGACGTGCGTGATCAGCTTGGCATCGCAGTTCTTTAGGGAGTGGACGCGTGGCCCCTGGAAAGCGAAACGCTGCACATTGATCCTGGGGGCCATCGCCTTTGGGTAGAAAAGCGAAGACCGAGTCATTGAAACGATGCGGGGCGAGGCCTGTTTCGAACATCTGCATCATCAGCTCATGCAGGATCTGGGAGGAGCCTGGACTGGTGGCCCATGCTGCATAGGGCATCTGATCGGGCCCTGGTGCTGCGTGACGAACCTTGCGGAGAGCTCGCTTGAAGTCCTCCAGAGCAGGGACCCCGAGGTCCGCGCAGTCGAAGCTGGGGGGGGGGGGGCTTTTCGAGGCATTGCTGGACCGCGTCGGGGTCCACGATCTTGGGCGAGAAGATGGGCTGCCAGAACTGAAGACCTTCAAAAATCCCCTCTGGTTTTCTGACTGGGGAGTGAGAGGTGGTGCCTGGGGCCTCTGTGAGCTGCATGGCGGCGCGTCTGCTGGCTCCCTGGTCGGGGAGTCCTTCGGCCCCGTTCTGCTGGCGCTTGGTGGCAATGGCGATGCGCCTCTCGTAGCCCGCGGTGACTGCAATGTCCATGGTCTTGATGAACTCGTCTCTGTTCGTGAGCTCGGGTCCGTGGTGGTAGTGGATGTGAACTCGTCTCGGGTCCGGGTCCGTGAACTCGTCTCTCTTCGGCGATGTGTAAGTGGTAGCTGCCTAAATCCGTCGTGGCCATGAGTAATGCGGCTGTATCCTTGTCCTTCCTCCAAATCGTCCTGGCTATTGATCGCAATGTGGTGAGCCCCATGCTTGGCCCAGCGGCTGAGGTCTTGAAGCGAGGCGCGCTGCTGGAGTTTGCGGGTGAGTCTGGCTGCTTCCTCGATGATGAGCTTGCGCTGCTGCCGCGCCGCTGTCGCTGTGAGGTTGGCCTTGGCGATGTGATTCTTCAGCGTGTCGAAGTGGAGCTGGTAGGGGGGTCGTAGAAAATGATGCGATCGATTGCCTGCTCGTCGATACGCGTTGCCGAGATGTTGCCGGGAGAGAGGTGAAGAATGGCAGGATCGCTGGGTCCTTGATCAGGCAATGCCGCACCGTCCTTGTGCATCTGCAGGTTGATGTCTACATTGAGGATTGCGATGCCTGTGAGCGAGACGAAAATGCGGTCGATGGCGGTCGCAGCCTGCGTGT